CCTTGGAAGGGTCGGTGCCGGGTTCCAGACTCACCCCGCGGCTTCGGCCAAGGCCTCAGCTGCCGCCGCCAACGCCGGTAACGCCGCTTCAGGCCCCCCGCCCTACCACCCGCCTTCCCCGCTGCCCTCCAAGCCGGGCGGGAGGGAGGACAGTTTCGCAGGCTTAAGGTCCAATCGACAGGCGTAAGAAGACGATGGACTGAAATACCAACCAATAGTAATGAAGGAGAAGCTAAGCTTTGGGACCGGCATCTCCAGGGGGCGGGGACTGTTCAAATAGACAAACCACGCGGCCAGTAGCAGGAGAAAAGAGGCTTCGATGCACTCGGCAGAACCAATCCACCGTGAGTTAACTCCAGTCACTTCCACGCACACATCCGGCGCATCGCTACTGTAATTCCCCTTGGTGTCGGGGCTGTGCCACCGTGCCTAGTCCGCGGTTGGGTACCGAGGATGGCACTAAGCGTTGGTAGGTGGAGGTTCGCGACCCTTACCGGAATAATTATGAAAGGACATGTGAGCTGTGACAGCGTCCTGAAATTACTTTTCGGAGTTTGGGAACGTGATTTTTCTTCTGTTAAATGTAATATGCACTTGAAAAGTTTTTTAGATTTCCCACTTTTCCAAAATTATTTAGCTCACAAGATCATTCAGGAGAAACCATAGCCAAATTTTAACTAAGTGATCTACTCGTAATTTAAAAACATAATTTTAAAAACTTGTCAAAAAGCAATTAACTACATTTCGATTTAAAAAATTAGTGTTTATTATAATAAGTATTGAAAATCCCTAAATATTTCACAATAGGAGTCTGGTTAAAATATTTATTTATATAAGGGGAAACCTATATTGCTACTAATAATAGTATTGTAAGTGAATATTTGTTAAGAAGGAAAAAAAGGTTCACAATTTGTTAAAAGCTATGTTGCACGACAATATAAGTATAATACGACCTTAAAAAACATATATTTATGTGTTTGTTACCATGGGAAAAATGTACAACTAAGATGTACTGGAATTTGAGAAGGCATACTTTTTTTTACCTTCTACATTACCACCAACTACTTGTGTACTAAATAGAAGTGTTGGGTTTCTTCTTGTTGTCTTTCTCTTTTTCAAACACTGTCTTCAGGGGAACATGTACTTCTAGAACCCAACAGGAGTTGACTTATATAGGCAGAAATCCCTGCCCCTGGTCCCTGATTGGTCTGTCCTTATGCAGATAAGGATTCCAAAGTCTCACAGTTTGATTGGTCCGAAAGGCATTGTCCAATTCTGATTGGCCAGAATGGAGCTGCTCTGATTGTCCAATGAAGATGTTGATGTAGTTGCCCAGCTCTGGTTGAAAGACAACCTCAGTGCTAGTGATTGAAATAGGATACTGTGAACTCCATCATAAAGGTTGGCTCAGGTGGCAGGAGCACACTGCCCAGAGCAATTTAGTGAAGGCAGGTACCTTCTCCTTGAAGTGTAGTTTGCACAAGTGGCCCCAGTTTAGAAATGGCTGGTTGTTAGGCTCTAGTTTTCTGTTGTTGTTTGTATTTTTTTAGGAACCACCAGGAACCCTTCTTAATAAGTATCTTTTTTCTCAGAGTCTACATTTCCGGGTAGGCACTGTTGTGGGGGTTAAATGCTAATGATACATGTAAAGTACCTAAAACACTACATGACACATACAATCAATAAATGCTGTTATTGTTATCTATGAATGTTTCTACAAGGTAGGTCGTATTGTTCCCACTTTATACTTTATCCATTAGTAAACTGGCAGGCATACAGGGGGAATGAGTCATAAAGCTGGTAAGTGAGGGGTTAAAAATACATGCTTCTTCCTCATGTCCCATTTGGTAGTATAGGATACCTGTGTTTGGCCAGCATTGCAAATATCTGTTGGATGTTAAAGTTGTCCATTAACAACCAGCTAGCAGGAAGAGACGTATGTCTGTGCAGATCTGGCTTCATAGTGGTTGTGACGTGTGAGGTCATTATGCTCTGTCCTGAAATTCTTAATGATTTTTGAATAAGGGGTCCCACATGTTTATTTTGCTCTGGGTACCAAAATTATGTAGTCAGTCCTGTGTACATATACATTATATTTGATTTTTAACTTTTGCTGATATAAAGGATGTATAGCATACACTTACACATAATAAACTACATTGCCACGTCTTCTTCTAACCATGTTGTCTGACAAGGTCCAGGCATGGAGGACTCGAGTTCAAGGAATTTGTCTCCCCGGAGGAGAACATAGCATCCAAAATGGGTTAACAATTGGCTATTTTATTTTAATTATTTTACTCTTGCTACTGAATATAGACATTGTACTGTACTTACTTATTCCTGTGAAAGTCACCCAAGAGGAGGGAACAGTTCAGAGGAAAAACATTAGTATTCCCCACGAAACTGCCTGAAAGGATGCTAAAATCTCCACAGATTCCCCTCTCCCTTATACAGGGGAGTACGACAGCTAGGGTAATATAATTATTAACCATAAGGGAAAACATGTCAAGTTGTATAAATTATCCTGGATTGAGCAACTTAAAGCGATCAGGACCGCCATAGTGTACCAGAAATAAAAATAAGTTAGATCTCTTAAATCAACAGTTAAGGCCAGTTAGTAAAGAACCAGGTTATTGTTGCAAACACAGGTTGTGCTGCCAACAGTTGAGGGAATGGAAGAACAAATTAGAAAGACTTTCCAATGACAGTTCCTCACCCACAGATACAAAGGGTCTTCCAAGAAAACAAGTAAAAACTATATAGACCCCTACCCACAGCCTAGGGATACGGTCGGGACGGTTGAGATGCATCTGCAAGGCAGAGGCAACTGTGGCTGGATTTCCTGTCTATCTCTCCTCACATGTTTGGGTGATCAAAAGGTGGTGGGATTGTTAGAGACTTGTATTTCAGGTTCATTGATTAGCATAATTTTAATGAAGTTGTACAAAATAATTTCTTGAACAGAGAACAAAGTCCCTGTATGTCTAAAAGTTGTTGGAGTAACAGCTCCTCCTTTACCTTGAATAGGAATATATATCAATTAGACAGCCAAAGAAATAAGAGAAGCTGGTTAGCTATTAAGCACATAGAAAGAGTTACTAGAGAGTCAGAGTTTATAGTACACAGAGAAACATTTTAGACAAAAAAGGATAGATAGCTAAGTTAGACATCACAAAGGCCTTATAATAAATCTCCTATTACCTCTACTCAATCTAGCGTATCCTTTTGTCCCATGACAAATTCTGAGAAACTTTAATAAACATTAAGACATTCAAACTCTGTACATACAGCTACTTCTAATTGTCCGATTTATGGCTCTCCTGGTCAAAACAATCTTTGTTTAATATAACTGAATCTATGGGAACTTTCGTACTTTTCCTGGTTACCTTTGTATTGACTTTTTCTGCTTAACTGATTATGTTATGCACCTGCAAATGTTAATCACTACCAAAAATGAAAATATAAAAACCTGCTTGTACTTGCAATAAATGGAACAGAGCTTCCCTATCCTTTCAGGTGTGTTGTCATCTGTTACCCATCTCCAACGCCTTGCCCACCTTTCAGGAAACCCTGGACCCTGCTGCAGCTGGATCGTGGCACTACTTAATACTTTTTATTGTAAATTTCACATAGCCAATTGATTCTAGCAGCGTGCTTTTATTTTTGGATATTGTGCAGCCTCCCTATGGTTGCAATTGACCAATAAATATAGTTCCAACAGGAAATGTTGGTTGATAGTTTCTTTTACATTAATGAATAAGAAGAAATTGAAACAATCAAGAGATATCTTGAAATTTCACTAGTTTGTGAATGATATGAAGGCTTCTTTGCTGAATCAAATAATTTTCCAATACTGGAACATTTCCTCACTTTTTTTTTTTTTGCTGTTATTCAAACCTACTGGCCACTGAGTTAACATACTTTTACGTTTAAACTGCATGATAAACTGTTTTCAGTCACTTTCTTAAGTCTAGATGACCAGCAAAACAATTATCAAGCATTGCTGATTTGCGTGGCATAAATACTCCTACTATGGCAGAGTTCGAGCTACCAATGGAAGTCACTCAAAAGCAAGGAAGAGATGAGCAGCGGCACATGGCGAGACAGTATTCCCACAATGCAGTTAAAATAAATGCGGACAACCTGAAGAGCATAAATGACAAAATGTAGTAATTAGGGAGTAATAAACTTTGAGTATTTGTTACTTTGGTTTTTAATAAAATTTATCTACTTGTAAGTTTTGTGTAGTTTAATTTTGAATAATGGCTGTTATTAATGACTGACTCACAAAACTCCGAAAAATTTAATTGCCTCTCTCCAGTTAGGAGGAGCTACTGAAGCTCCCAGAAGGCGGGCAATGAAGACACAGAGCTGGCCACGTGGTAGGGTGAGAGAGGCGGTTATTTGCATAATATGAATAAGTAAGTAAAATACGGATTAAAGGGCAGGCAGGACAATTCATGGCATTCGTAACTGCACAGTAGAAGGCGGGAATTTTTACTGTTCTAAGTATTATTAGAATTAATCATTTCGTAGACAGCCCTCCCCATTTCAGAGCTTCAAGTTTCCCATTTAAAAGTGGGGGGGGGGCGGATAATTAAACCTTTCTTATCGCCCTCAGTGTGCTTCCTGATTGCTGTCCATTTCGTTAACTGTTGTTAAGTGCTCGATAAATGCGTGTTGAATGCATACCGCATGAAGAAACTGAATGCCTCCTATTTCGGTGCTTGAAGCTCTTGATAAGTCAGAAAGCCACACTTATTGGTGGTGGATCCCGTGACTCTTAAGCGAGGCCGCATCCGCCAAATCTGTGAGCAGCTGCCCCGTGCAGACAACCAGAGAGAAAAACCCTGGACCTCCGCATTAGCATCCCGCTCCGCCCCGCCCCCAGACCAGGCTCCGCCCCTCTCGGCTCAGCTAGCTTTGTCAGCCCTTGTTTCCCGGCCGGCCTCGTGAGGCGGGCGCACAAGATGGCGGCCCCAGGAGCCCCAGGAGCCCCAGGAGCCCCAGGAGCCCCAGGAGCCCCGGGGAGACGGCCACCTGTCCGCCTTGGGTTCTAGTTCTGGGCCGGGGTCCGGAGACAGGCTTCGCCCAAGTGACAGGAAGCTCGAACGGTGCTACTGTGCCTCGTGAGGTGCCAGGCCCGATTGGTACTGCCCCGGGGCCGGCTGCCTTCTCCGCCCTGCCTGGGGGCGGAACCAGAGGAAGGTCAGAACCGGCCGCCCCGCCCCGTCCCTCCCAGTCTCGCTCAGCCGCTCTTTTGGGGGTGGCTCACTATTAACTTTGACTTCAGCCACGTGCACCTCCATGGAGGCCTCGCAGGTCCCGGGGGAGAAGATTAGCATTCAGGCGGGAGAGACGGCCGGGGATGGGGACCTGCCGGGGAACGACTGTCTCGAGTGGGACAAGCCCCTCCCGCGCTCCTGGAGGCAGAAGTGCGCGTCCTATGTGCTGGCCCTGCGGCCCTGGAGCTTCAGTGCCTCACTCACCCCGGTGGCCCTGGGCAGTGCCTTGGCCTATAGATCCCAGGGCATACTGGATCCCAGGCTGTTGGTGGGTTGTGCCGTGGCAGTTCTGGCTGTACACGGGGCTGGCAATTTGGTCAACACTTACTATGACTTTTCTAAGGGCATTGACCACAAAAAGAGTGATGACAGGACCCTGGTAGACCGGATCTTGGAACCCCAGGATGTTGTCCGGTTTGGAGTCTTCCTCTACACTTTGGGCTGTGTCTGTGCCGCTTGCCTCTACTACTTGTCCCCTCTGAAACTGGAGCATTTGGCTCTCATCTACTTTGGAGGCCTGTCTGGCTCTTTTCTCTACACAGGAGGTAAGAATTGGCCTGATACCTGTGCTGGAAGTCTGGGTTGCATGTCCTAGAAACTACTGCTTTGTGTAGAGGTTAAAAGTAGAGGACTGATGTCAAGGGTTCCTTTCTCAGGCCACTGTGTGAAATCTACAGTGTGTGGGTCATGTGGATTATTTTGAAAGATTCTATTTATTTGTAGAGAGGGGATGGGAGGGAGGATGAGAGGGAGAAAAACATCAACCTGTTACCTCTCATATGCACCCTGACTGGGAACTGAACCTGCAACCCAGGTATGTGCCCTGACCAGGAATCGAACTGGTGACCTTTCCCTTTGTGGGGCCACACTCCAACCAATTGAGTCAAACTGGTCAGGGCAATGTGGGTTATTTTGAAAAGAGTAGTAGATTGAGAACATCCCGACTTGGCTTATGGGTGTTAGATATATATATATATATATATATATATATATATATATATATATATATAATTTCCATATATATACACACCCATATATAGGTATATGTATATATTCATATACATAACCAACACTTCCCTTGACTTTTCCAAGGGCATCGACCACACAAAGAGTGATGACCAGACCCATACACTGCACAAATGGGGATGGGTTTTTTTTTTGCATTTCAGCTGCATTTTTACCTTTTGTGAGTCATATGACTCATATACATATGAATCATTTCCATATATATATGGACATTTTTGTTCCTAGTTTCTTTTTGTTGGTCATATCTTGTCATGCCAGTTTCAAATTTTAGTGGAAGTCACTTGGAAGAGCTCAAAATTGTGCTTTCAGCTAGTTTGCTAGGTGATTCACTATAGCAGGCCGACTAAGGTCGTGAGGGCCAGGTGGCTCAGCCCTATTTATCAAGCACTTATTATGTGCCAGCACTGTTTGTTCTATGTGAACACAGCAGCCACAGACCTTTGCTCTTGTGAAAGTTGGGTTCCCAGGAACCCGACTTTGGCACTTTGGGTGCTGAAACCATTGAAGTCCCTGGTAAGTTAGGGTGGGTTCGTATCCTGATGACATCAGTTGGATATAAGGGTCTGAGTTCAGGCGAGAGGTGTGAGTGGGAAATACAGGTACTGGGGAATCCATGGCACCGAGATAAAGTTGTATGACGGGGTGAGGCCACCAGAGGAGGGAGTGTTGGCAGAGATGTGAGGGGGACCAGGACAGCCCTGGGCACTTGGATGTTAAGAGAAGAGAAGGACCAGGTGAAGGGAGCTGTGACTGAGCTTCTGCAGGAGAAAGAACACCAAGAGGCTGATGTCCTGGCAGCTGTTTGTAAAAAGTTCAGTAAAGGAAATCAATGGCTGCTGTGGCAGACTGTCTAAAGGTGGTACTGAGAGTGTCACCTTTGCCTGCTCTGCGAAGGTGACACTTAAACTCCTACTTGAAGGATAAGGAGCCAGCCATGGGGCAGAATTGGGGTCCGATTCAGGTGCCAAATCCTTCAAGGCTGAAGGAACAGCAGATGTAAATGCAAAGGAGTGGGGGAGAGCTTGGCATCTTCTAGGCTGTTCCAGAAGGGCCAGTGTGTTCTGGAGGAAGAATGGAGACAGAGTTGGAGACGTAGCGGGGGCTAAGTCATGCTGGCCTCCCAGGGCCTTGGTCTCCTGTGCTGGCTCCTGCTTATTCCCAGCTGCAGGCTTACTCCTTGGACCGCCTTCCTCTGTCTCCATTTCCTCCTCGTGATTTTGGCCAGTCCCGTGGCTTCAGATGCTATCTGTTAAGCTGGTGACCCACAGATTTATACCTCTAGCCCAGATCTCTCCACTGAACTCCAGACCCACATTCAGCTTCTCACTCAGTTCTGACCTTCTCTCCAAAGAAGCCTGCTCTCCCTCAGCTTCCCCCGCTTACTAGATGGCAACGCCACCCTTTTAGTTCTTGAGGCTGAAAATCATGGGCATCATCTTCACTCTTCTTTCTCAGTTGCATCCTGTCCATCAGCCAATCCTGTTGACTCTACTTTTAAATACATCTGGAGTCTGACTTGCTCACCACGTTCCTCCACTGCCACTCTCATCTCCTGAGTTTTACGGCAGGTCCTTTTTTTTTTTTTTCTAAATTATTTTTATTTATCTTCAGAGGGAAAGGGAAGGAGAGAGGGAGAGAAATATCAATGTACAGTTGCCTCTTGTTTGTCCCCTCCTGGGAACTGGCCTGCAACCCAGGTATGTGCCCTGACTGGGAATCAAACCACGATCCTCTGGTTCGCAGGCCGACGCTTAATCCACTGAGCTACACCAGCCAGGGCTTATGGCAGGTTCTTTACTGATCCCTGCACCCACCCCTGTCCCTGTCAGGTGCTCCCAAGGCAGCAGCCAGAGTAATCCTATGAACATGTAAGGCAGTTATGTCAGTTCCCTGCTCAGAATGTTCCAAGGGCTCCCATCTTGTTCAGAGTAAAGGCCAAGGTCTTTCCAACCATCCCAGGACTGTCACCTGCCTGTCTTTTCCAGTCCCCCCAACTCCGATCTGCCCTCTGTCTTTGGTCCTGCTCCCAGGCGCCAGCATGCTGCCCTCCTGGATGTTTCTGGGACACGCCAGGAATGTCCTGCCTCACAGATCTTTTGAGGAGTCTGTTTCCTGGACTTGGAATGCGCTTCCCGTTCTGTCTGTGTGATTCCCTTTCTAGCTGGTCTGCCCATTTTTCAGATGTTTAGTGAGTACCCTGTCTACAGTAAGATTACAAACCAAAGCTTTTTGCAGCAGCTGTGAAAGAGTACAGTTACTCACTAACACGTGCACCCTGATTCCCGTGCCCCCCCTCCCTCCAGCCAGCCTTCCCTAATGCTCCTCTCTGCTCTTCGATCACAGCCAGTACTACCTTTTAACACAAGTACTGACTGTTAATTACTGTCCACTTTACACTGTAAGCTGCCTGGGGTTAGGGATTTCAGTCTGTTCTCTGCCAAACCCACGTGCCTGGCACATGGTCAGTACTTCATCTTTATTGAATGAACAAACGGGAATGAAATGTATTCAGCACAGTAACAACATAGTCTGATTTTACGGTTTTTCTGTAACATTGCCGATTACAGGTCAACGTCGAGCTGTGAAGTGCGCAGGCCTTCAGCACTACAGTTTGATGACTTTGGCAGATGCATGCCGCTGTGTGACCTGGACGCCTTCACCCAGAGCATTTCCATAACTCTTGGGAGCTGCCTAGTGCTTTCTTCCCATCAGTCCCCACGCTCCCCACCCCTGTCCGGAGGCAGCCAGTGTTCTGATTTCTTTTGCGTAGATTTGGTTTTCCTGCTCTAGAACGTCCTGTAAACGAACTGTTCAGTGTGGATTCTTGGGCCTGGCTTCTGCTGTCGGGATCCGTCCCACTGCGGTGAGCGCTAGTGGTCCCTTTGTATTGCCGCGTGGTGCCCGTGGTGCGGACCCACCATCACTTGCGTATTCATCCGCCTGGTCCTTGGCTCGTGGCTTGTTTCCGTATTACGGTTATTTTACCTGCATGTTCCTGTCCAAGTCTTTCTGTGGATATTTGTTTTCACTTTTCTTGGGGGAATGCCTTGGAATGGAATTGCTGAGTGACAGGGTAGATGACGGTTAACTTCAGGAGAAGCTGCCAAAGTGTTTGCCCACGTGGTCGTGCTGCGCTTTCCCGTCAGCAGTGTGTGGGAGCTCCGGGTGCTCCATGTTCTGGTCAGCATTAGATTCGTATTTTAACACGTTGATTCTGGCTGCTATGCGGAGAACTAGCCCAGTAGTTCGCTGTGCTGGTCCATTTGGAAAATGGAGTTGGAGGGGCTGGAATGCCTAAAGGAAACTCCGGGGTGGGCCATACCTCCGAGTCTCAGACAGGCGAGCCTCATGCCGGATGCTGAGGACACTGGGCCTTCCCCTCGGGGCTCTAGCACTTTCTTGTGTCTCGTGATCTCCAGGAGGTTGCCAGACCCTCCTCACCCCCAGAGTGGGTATGCGGTCGGTTTTCGTGGGGTGTGTTGAAGGCGGGGACTCACCCGTGCAGGAGTGTGTTTCTGCTCACCTTGCTCACATCCTGATGTTGCCAGGGGGTCTCGGGATGTGCCCTTGGGTAACCTGGCCAGAGTCGGGGCTTTTGAGCTGCTGTTTTCCTTCCGCAGCCGGAGCCCTTAGGTCTGCCTGGATAGCTGAGAACATAAGCTACAGAGAAGTAGCCCTGGTGGAGAAACTTGCTAGATCTGGGCTGGAGGTACCCTGCCGGGCACCTTCGGTGGGTGGGGGGGGAGAGCCCCGCCCCACCCACAGTTCCACTTGGTGTAGTTTCAGTTTTTTGAAACCTTGTGCTGTCTGCTTTGCCCTGCACTGGACATGAGTCATCCCTTTGTCTAGCATGTCCACGCTGTGTGCACTGCCCGCCCGTTAGCCAGTTAGTAGCCACCTTGCTTGTCACGTTGCTTGTTGAGATAGCTCAGTGCTTGAGTTCAAGTAACCTTTCTTTTACTTAATAATGGCCCTGAAATACAAGAGTAGTGATGCTGGCAATTCAGATACACCAGAGAGAAGCCATCAAGTGTTTCCTGTAAGGAAGAGGTATGTACAGCATGTACACAAAAAATATTATGTACGTATGTACTCTTCGGTTCAGGCGTCCGCTGGGGGTCTCGGGTGAGGATGGGCAGGGGGGACTACTGTAGTCTCCTGAATACGTGAGATATTGCAGAGGCATCGATTTGCTCATTTAGAACCGGAGCTGATGTTCTGCTTGAGCAAACTGTCCCCTGGAAGGCATGTCCTCAGGCGAGGAAATTATTTATCAAAACACTGCTGGGGTCATACAGTGAACTTGCAGCATGTCAGTGGGTGTCAGGGGCCATGCATGTGAGGCACTGCCCTGGGGGTGCTTCATTCCAAAGAACTGGGGGGCCCTTCAGCACCAGAGGTCCCTGCCAGATGGAGGTGTTAGCTTGCACCACGATGGGAATTGTGTTGCGATACACGAGTGTATTGAGTCTACACGTTGTGCACCTTGAACTTGCACAATGTTTGTGTTAATTATCCACAGTAGCTGAGGGAAAACCCAAACAGCAGATGCCCAACTTCTGGTGCGAAGGTCAACTTGGGCTGAGTCTTGGTCTTCAGCGGCCAGGGCTCTGGATCCTCGGCAGACCTCCCGCCCTTCTCACTTGAGGTTGCTGGGCGTGCTGTTGCTTACCAGTGGTTTTCTCGTTGCTGAGGCCGCACTTTGGGAGCTCGGTCATGTCCGGAGGCTCCCCAGGCTCCTGTGGCACACGTGTGGATGGATTCTCGCCCATTTCTCCCGCTTTACTCTGGGGGGAGTGTTTTTTCTGACCATGGCCCTGGATTCCAGGTGCATGTTACTGTCGCTCTGTGTTCAGTTGGGCCTCCGTGCCAGGTGCTGGGGAGCGCGCTGTGAACTAACCAGACCCAAGGCCCCGCCCCTCTGAAAAGTAGCATTAGTTGGGAGAGACGGAGATTTGAGAATGAGGAGCGAGGAGCGTGATGTGATTGGTGTCAGGGTGCCCTGGAGCGTGTTGCAAGGGGACCAGATGTGGTGTGGGCTGAGGCAGGCTGCCCTGTGGAATGGCCTTCACAGCCTTGGAGGGTGAGTCAGAGTTTGCCAGGCACAGCGGGCAGGATGGTTCTCAGGACCTGAGGACCTGAAAGAGGTCTGAAGGGAGAGGGCGGAGAGCTGGGCGGAGAGCTGGGCGGTGGGGGTGGGCAGAGGGGAGCCAGGCGAGAGGCTGGCTTTATTCTGAGGACGCCTTGTGGGTCAGGGTTTTCAAGCGTGCGTTGGGCAAGGTGGCATGGTCCGGCAAGTGTTTTTAAAGCGCCACTCGTGCGGAGATCAGGTTAAGGAAGGGAGGGGAGGCTGTGATAAGGACAGAAGACCAGGGAGTGATTTGGGAATGTTGATGTGTTCCAGACAGAACAGGACCGAGACTGGGATTTGGGGATGGAGCGAGGGAGCTGGGCAGGTTTTAACGATGTAGGTTACACTGGATTTGAAGTCGATAGCGGTACAGGAGGAGGAGTTAGAGATGACTGAGGTTCAACGTAATGGGAACCAGAGAGGGGAAGCAGCGTTGTAACTTCCTCGTCTCAGCTGTTTCCCTCATTATGTGGCTGAAGGTTTCTTTCTGTGGAGTTTGGGAATCCTGAACTTTCACTGACTCACCGGGGGGTTTTCCAAACCAGAAGATCCCTTTGGTGTTACTGACTGGAGGGAAGCGGGGAGGGGGAAAGAAACCGAAAACTGGGTGGTGAGACCTTGATCCTTGGTGGGCCCTCCCGTTGAGCTGTGTGTGGTGGGAACCTGCTGCTTTTTGGTACATTTTTGTTGGGGAGGTAGGAAAGAAAAACTGGGTGTGACCCTGAACCCTCATCGCACGCTAAGAGATTAGTATTCCCTGCACCTCCATACGGGGCCCTGCAAGGGAAGGGGCCTCCTCAGCGGCCCCCTTCCTTGTCTGAGTCTGAGGAACAGTCCCTCGATTCTGCCCTTGACCTCACCCCAGCTCTCTGGGTTTTCTGGCTGTAGGCATTGGATTCAAGTACGTGGCTCTGGGGGACCTGGTCATCCTCATCACTTTCGGCCCGCTGGCTGTGGTGTTCGCCTACGCCGTTCAAGTGGGGTCGCTGGCGGTCTTCCCGCTGGTCTACGCCATCCCCCTCGCCCTCAGCACCGAGGCCATCCTCCACTCCAACAACACCAGGGACATGGAGTCCGACCGCGCGGCGGGCATCGTCACCCTGGCCATCCTCATCGGCCCCACCCTCTCCTACGTGCTCTACAACACGCTGCTCTTCCTGCCCTACCTGATCTTCAGCATCCTGGCCACGCACTGCAGCATCAGCCTGGCCCTCCCGCTGCTCACCATCCCCATGGCCTTTTCCCTTGAGAGACAGTTCCGAAGCCAGACTTTCAACAAACTGCCCCAGAGGACCGCCAAGCTCAACCTCCTGCTGGGGCTCTTCTATGTCTTTGGCATCATTCTGGCGCCAGCGGGCAGTCTGCCCAGACTCTAGGGGACCGAGGAGCTGCTCCGCCACCGCGGGCCCCTGAGAATGTCCCCTGAGCAGGTAGCGCGTCTCAGGAGAGAAGGCAATTTGAGGATGAGGGGCCTAAGGACGGCCTGTGAACTTCCACCTTTTTTAAATTATTAAGTTCTTAAAGATAATGTTTTTGGTTTTGTTCTGTTTTATGGTGAATCTTAACACCACTCTGGTATCAGCAGGCGAACTGGCTGCTTGGCCCTTGTTTTATTTACGCTTTCCACTAGAGGGTGCTGTCGGGTCACTTTAAAGTGGACTGGAAGGCCCTAAGACTGGGAAGGAGCCACCTGAGTTGGCCTCCAGTCCTGAAAGGGCGGCAGTAACTGGGCCAAGTGTCCCCCTGTTATCTTGGTCTTGAAGGATATGATAATGACTGGTGTCAGGCCGCAGTGATCTCAAGAGCGCCTGTCTCTGACTCTGAGCGTTTGTGTCCTGAAATACACTGCCTGAGACAGTCCCTCATTAACAGCCTAGCGTGGCTCCCGGCTATTTGCCTAAATTGTGATGCGGGGACTTTTGTCCTTCATCTCTGCTTTCACTTTCCGCCACAGTTCAGGAAGAATGTCAGATCACCCTGCAGCAATACACTCAAACTAGTGACTGGGAAGGAAAAAAACCCACCCCTGGGGCAGCTGAGAAAATCGCTGTGCTTCGGGGTGGAAGTCGGTCGTTCCCCTTTGTAGAGTCCACTGGGGTCACAGGAGGACTCCCAGCCCTCTCAGCACCGCCTGGACTTGTGCAGACGCTGCCCTCCCTGCCGGCTACATTCAGCCCACAAGGCCTCTGCGTGCCCCGCCCCCACTGCCCCCCCCCCAGTGCCCCCCAGTGCCTGTTTGTGCGCTTCCCATCCCTGGACCCTGACCGTTGTGGCAGCAGCTCAGTGTCTGAGTAAGGGACAGCTGCCACTTTGCACGGGGCCACAGGATGAGCAGACCAGGCCATCAGCTCCTCCGTGAAGGAATAAGCCAGTGAATAGCCAGTCCTGCTCCTGTTCAGACAAACGGTGGGCCCTGCTGGGGAGGGCTTGTGTCTTCCACCGTAAGGGCAGATGTGCTACACTGGCCCTGTGGCTCCTGGGGGCTTCAGTTGCCCGTGGAAAGGTGGTTTGCACCCAGGATGGGGGAGTTCCAACACCGATCAGAGCTGCTTTTCATTTCATTGCCTGTGAAGTATAATTTCTGGGCTGTGTTTGGTATAAGACTGAAACACATTGAGGCATCGTTATGTTTTCCTGTAGCTACAATAGCTGTTCTGACGGCTGTTTCAGGAGCTTGACCTGCAGAAAGTGACATTCGTTCTTCGTCCTTAAAGTCAGCTAGTTATGTGATTTGGCTCCTTGAGTGGGAATTAGCTTACTTGGACAGAACATATCTGCAAATTGCAGAAGTTCCTGTCGGTGGTCTGTCCGCAGAGTTCTGGAATCCTCAAGTGGTGGTCGGGGCCCAGTCACGGGGAAACGGCCCTCTCCTCCTGCCTTCCTTCCCAGCACCACTCCTCTTCTCGCCAGGCTTGTGTGTGTTGGTGCTCACTGGGTCCTGCCCTCAGAGACCAGCTTGTCCCACGGGGCTCCCCCTGAGTCGGTACGACCAAGAGCCGTCTGCAGACCAGACCACCTTCGGAAGCACTCCGGTCGGGGTGTCAGCCTCTGCGTTGGGTCCTGGTGCAGATTTTAACGCATATTCTTATACACAAATGTTTCTAAAACACCGCACTCGGTGCCAGGTTTTATACGCAGGTCACCGTAATTTGTATCACGTCCCCTGATTCAATGACAGTTTTCTTTAGACTTGTTAATAAAAAACATTTATCAGTTTCCCGTTTTTCTTTGCTTTCCATCCACTTCTTATTGTCTGACTGTGAGCTCTGTCAGGAGACCAGCACGGGAACATTGGGGCACTGGGTGGGGGTGGGGTACACAATCTTTAGTGATGAATTCGGGTAGAATTTGACCTGATTCGTTGAGCCCTTAGAGAAGACAGTAGGGACCACTCAGAGCCGGTACGGATTTGCCAGGAGCCAGCCAGGCCAAATTAACCTTGTTCCCTTGTTCTTTCCCACCTTCATGTCTCTCTTCCCTTGGTAGGGCCGCTGCGTTGATAGATTGAGAACATGCAGTCAGCGGAGGCGTTTGGCTCTGGCCCGGGAGCCTGACAATACATCCTCGTGAGCAGAGCAGGGGGGCGGGGGGCGGAGGACAGCCCGGCTCAGCGACCGTCGGCCCGGCTCGTCTCACGGCGCACACAACCTGATCACTAACGTTCTGCGGCACACCGAAAATGCATTTTTGGCCGATCTGACCAAAGAAAACGTATACTTTTGATTCATTCACACAGGATGGCCATTGTGTTAACTGCTGTCATTTTTCATTGGACAATCTACAGGAAAAGGGGTCAGTGCCCCCGACTGTATAGTCAGGTTATCGCCTATTTTCATTAAAAAGTCTTGCGGCACACCCGGAGGAAGTCGCTGGTCGGGTTAGATGAGGTCCCCGGAGCCTGGACGGGCCCTGGGAGGGGGCCTCTGATCAGTCCCCCCTGTGCACAGGCAGGGGAGCCTCTGGAGGCGAGTGTGCATCTGCCCTCTGCCAGCCGCGTTCAGCACCTGGAACAGCTGATGGGAGTGAGGCTGCTCAAACGGCAGGTTTTGCAAATCTTGGAGGGAGAGCTTATAACAAATCAGGGGGCTGCTTTGATGCGTCAGAGGGGAAGCTCGGCATGAGTAAACATGAGGCAACTACTTGGTTCCCCCAATCGACCGTCCAGCCTCCAGGGGAGGTACCTGGAGTGGCAGCAGTCGCTGTGGCGGCTGTGAGTTTTATTAATGACCAGGATACAATGCCATGTGCCTTTATTTCTGGGAGTCAGATTTCTTCTGCCCCCCAGTGAGGTGGCCAGCAGTTTAACCCCTGTCACCCTGCGGGCTGGCCCCCTCCGTCCAGGATCACCCAGGATTCCTGGGCCTCCGTGGGGTCAGCAGTCAGGGATGTGGCCTGGCCCTCGTTCCATTTGCTTGTTCTCTCTAAGGTCCCTTCTCTGCTACTACTCTGGGCCAGGGTTCAGCCCTGGGATCTAACCTCCTTTCTTGCACACCCTGCTCTGGAAGGGTTCAGGATGCCCCTGGCGGCAGCCCTCTTTGCTGACCAGTACCGTGGGGCTGCAGGGCACTAGTCCCTGCCACCCCACTCCCATTTCTGCCCAGTCTCACGGAGGCACCCATTCCCTCCGTGACCCTCTCTCCTCCCCCACCCCTGGCAGGACCATGGCACAAAAGCCCACCTGGGCATCTTTGGAAGTCAGTGCTGGCCTCAAGTGGTGTGGGGAAGAAGAAGGTACAAACACATAGTTTATCATCTTACTAATTCTTCTGTTACTGCCTAATTAAAACAAGCAAAACTCTGAGCCTGTGACCGACCCCGAAGCTCAGTTTGAGTCAATGAGCTCTGACTTCCGTGAAGGTCAATGTGATGATCCAAGGCGGAATTAACAGATCAGTGTCCAGCGGATGAAGGTGCAGGTCCTGCCCATCCCCGTGTCGTTGGGCCATAGGTGGGCAGCTGGGTCCATTCCCGGGCACTTTCCTTCCTTAGTTCCTTTTTTCCTTGATAGAGCAAAGACGGCGGTCGATCAAGAGCACGCCGTGCCTACAACGCACTGGGATTTCGGCAAGGCCTTTGACAATGTGGTATGAAATGTGGGATGGGGAACTTTATTTCTGTGTGAACACACGTGTTGTCACACTGGAAACGGCTGTAGCAGAGACTGTAACTCTCTCTGTGGGAACCTCGACTTGAAGATGTTATTAACATCTTGTCCAGAAAGCGCTAGGCAGGCTGGTGAGGGCACTTACCACCATGTCAGTGAGGAAGGGAGACTCACCGGAGGGCAGTCTTAGGAAAAAGAGACTGAGCTACTCTGTGTGTGTGTGTGAGAGTTCAAAAGCAAAACTAGATAGATTGGTGGAAGTCACATGGCCCTGAGTTTAAGCTCTTAGGTCAGAAAGAACTTTCTAGCTTAGAGGAATTGCAAGTGAAATGTTTGACACGTCCCAGCGGGTGGTGAGTTCCCTGTGACCGGAGGCATTCAAGCGAAAGGATGATTCCTTGTCAGGAACACTGGAGCGGAGAGTTGGAGCAGAGAAGGAGCCTGTGAGGAGACCTCAGGGGCCTTCTGATCCTGCGACAAGATTGTTCTGTTGTTGAGGGATGGTGTCAGCGTCACCCCAGGGGTTGGGAAGACAGGTACGAGAAACACGTGGCCATTTCCTCTTCGAGACGGCAGACTGCCGTCTGTCATCCCACTTTAACAGGCACCGCTGTGACTGAGATTCCTTTTTCCTTTTAAGATTACACACACACACCCACACACCCGTGTACACGCACACACACGGTTGGTTTCGCCCTCCAAAGCCTTCGAAGTGAGGCGGATGACAGCCCCTTCCCCCAGGCCCCCAGGACCGCTCTGCTGCTAATGGACTGTCAGCTTTTTTCATTACGGGCTCCAGACTGTGCAGGCTGGTGTCAAAGTGGTGCCTCTGGCGAGAACCTGGCACTTGGGTCTCAGCCAGTTGACATTTGTGATTTGCCCTTCTTCAAACTGGGACAGCCCTCTCACTGTGAGTGACTAAGCCAGGATGCCAAATAGTGGTGTAAAGCAAGTCAGGTCCCCTGCCGAAGAGGTGACAAGGGCTGGGGCTGGGCCCTTTCAGGATGGCCCTCGGACAGTTTCCTAGGGGTGTGCGGTGGGGAAGGGGGCGGACTATAACTGGAAGGCACAGACCCCTTCAGTGCCCCTGTCATCCCTCAATGCAGCAGCTCTGGGAAGGTCTTCGGAGGGACAGTGAGGGTCTAGATCACGTGCCCTCATCCAGGTTTCAGCAGGGACGGAAGTTGCTCTGGGGCTCTACTGTGATGCTAACTGGTCCAGAGAGGCAGCCCCTTGTGGGGTATGACTCTCGGGGCACCCCAACCCTGAGGCCTGGCAGGGCAGATGAGCACCCGGAGGGAGAAGAGGGCCCTGCCAGGGGCTGCCCTCCGGTCTTCAAGGGGAGGCTCTTCAGGCCCACTGCCCTCTGTCCTTTGCCCTCCAGCTCCCCAGGAGGCTGCTCTACAGGGACCAGTAAGCCTACTTGTGCAGCCTGTGGGCTGGCCAGCTGGGCGTGAGTTTCCGGTCGGAGCCCGCCCAGTCCTGGATAACGGAGAGTTAGTCACCCATGGTGAGGACACAGGAAGGTCTGTTCTCAGGTTAAATTTCTGTTCCTGTCCCCATCTGCCTGTCTCTATTTTCCGTTTCTTGTAGTCCTCTCCAGGTCACTGACTCAGAGTGTGGGTGACTGCTTCCTGAGAATGTTCTGGCCACCTGGGGAGACTGAAAGAGCCCCCTCCACGTGTTCGGGGGGAGCAGCACCAGGGGTGGTAGTGACGCGTGTTTGGGACACAGAAGACTCGCTCTTGGGGTTCAGCGAGAGGAGGCCGACACAGATTGACTATAGAATAAATGATGACAAGCCCAGTGCGTGGAGGTTCGAGGTGGGGTGCCAGATGGAAGGCTTCCGGGAAGAGGTGATGACGAGCGTGGTCAAGGCTTCTAGGAAGAGATGGCCGTGAGGGTGATTGCTTTTTTCCGAAGCTGAGGTGTGGGTAGACAGTCGCCCCCAACTCCCCCAGCCTGAGCGGGTGGACATTTTTCTTAATCAGCCCCTCTGGCGGCACAGCCGACAGCAAACTGCAGCACTGAGGCAGGTGTGCGAAGGCCCATCAAACCACTGGCAAAGTCAAAGCCTGAAGAATGAGAAAGCCTGACACCTCTGTGCTGAGAAGCAAACAGGAGGGATGGTGGGGCACTCAGTCAGCGGAGACTGCCAATACCTAATCAGGATGAATGGCGCTGAGGGACGCGGCCCCGGGGAAGTGTTGGTTAGGTAGTGGAGTGGGAAGACCGCCTCTTAGGCCCTGGGCCGCCCTGAGGCCAAGGAACGCAGGGTGAAGGGGTGGGGTCCAGATTCAGGGAAGCTGCCGAGGCGATCAGAGGTCACTTCTGTCACCAGCTGTCAGCAATACAGGCCTTTCGGCTGACGCCCTGGCCGAGGTCCCTGGCCTCCTGAGAGCTGGCCCTGGGCCAGCTCTAACCTAGGACTCGAGATGCAGGAGGCATGCCCTGCCTCTGAAGGGGTCACAACAAGCTGGCGGGGGGGCCACACACACGTGAATCGCTCTGATGCCCCCCCTGGTGTCGCGGTGGAGGCTCCAGGGCTGGAGAGAGGGAAGGTGGCCGAGATCATTTCTCCACATGTGCCTTGGCCCAGACCCCCATCAGGTTACTGCTTTTGGCGAGAGCCTCTTTCACCTCCTCTTCCGGCCGCTGATGGTCTCTGGAGGCGCCTGCAAGGCGGCTACCAGGCCCATCTGCCGTTCGCAATTAACTGAGCAAGTATTACGTGACAGCAGTGGGCTAGGCTTCCTGGTATGATGGTGAATTAGACCCGGCCCCCTCCTCAGGAATCTCGCCGTCTCAGAGGGGAGACCCAGAGGGGCCTACTGTCACTCACGGGGCAGGTCTGTCAAAACATGAATGTGACAGCACCGGGTCCAAGGACCTTCTGTGTCACTCACCCCCTGGATGCGCTCGGCCAGGCTTTGGAGCCTTCGTGAGCTTCCAACTCCTTTGCGGAGGCGGATGAGTATGCGCCTCGTGGGGTAGCTTCAAGTTTCAGCGAAATAGTGCCCGTAGAGTACCCAGCGTGGTACCTGGCCTGCGGCAGGCGCTTTGCAAAGTGAGTCCACTTCCCCTCATTGGTGACTGTTTGGGGTCTGGTTGC